GTGGGGATTCACGTGAATTAAATAGCTGCAATTGGAAGAAGAGGGTCAGGGTCATTTGTTCAGGTTTTCTATTGTTTTGTCCTCTGTTTCCTCTTCTCCCCTTCCTTCTCTTTCTCTCTCCCCTCCTTTTAAATGCAAATGAGTAGAAATTTATTCTACCTTCCCCAGCTGTTTATTCCCACCTTTAGAATTGTTTAGACAAGGAGGAGTAAGCAAGGAGCCTATTCTGCTTTCTATTGTGGTCACATTGGTGATGCTCAGGACCTGCCAGGGTCAGAATTTATGGATATCTGAACCATACATCCATAACCATATCTCAGTCCACTTCCAATCCACATCAGGTTGTTGTCTGCCTTGGAGAGAAGAGCCAAAACTGGGGTAGGGTGGGGGGTGCAGGATATAAATGTGTAAGTTTTTGTTTTTTAAGGTTTTTTTCTTAGTGAATTATTCACCCACAGACATGAGAGAAAAAAAAGAGGGAGGGTGTGTGGAGAAAAAATGTTTACAGGGCTAACAAGGGATGATGTGTCATTTAGTATTTTACTAAAAAGTGTGGAAATGACTTGATTTCAAGGGGAGGGTGAGGCCAAAGAGGGAAGCCCAAAACAGATCTTAATGTTTCAAAGGAGTGCAGCCCTGCACAGCCATCAGATATGAGGGCACTGTTCTGTCTGGTGTTGTAGCCATCTCAAGAACAAATCAACAGCAACAAAAGAAAAAGAATAAATTTTTAAAATTTAACCAGTGTTTCTTTGTTTTTACTTTCATTCACTGCCTTGTAGCTCAGAAATGGTTCAGCTAGACTAGCTATGGAATCAGCCTTTGGTACCTGATAGACATATGGGGATGGAGTTGAAAGGGCAGGCCCCTGCCCTGATGCCACAGACCCTTCAGACTTCAGGGAAGTGGCTCATTCTGCACCTTTTATTCTCCTAATTCACACCAAAACTCGTGACGCTTACATTTTACCCTTTCGTGTTACTCTTTCATGTTAAACAGTGTGGTATGGTTTTTCTATTGTGGCCACACAAATACACAGTTTCCTGACCTACAGATTTATTGATCTTTTAAAAAAAAAAAAAAACTTTATTGAAGTATCATTAACATAATCTGCATGTGTTTAAGGTATACACTTGGATAAGCTTTGACATAAGATACATCCATGAAACCGTTATCACAGTCAGGGTAGTGAATACACTTTTTTTTTTTTTTTTTTTTTTGAGACAGTCTCGCTCTGTCACCCAGGCTGGAGTGCAGTGGCGCAATCTCTGCTCACTGCAAGCTCTGCCTCCTGGGTAGTAGTGAACATACTCTTTATTGCCAAAAGTTTCCTTGAACCCCTAGGTAATCCCTCCTTCCTGCCTCTTCCCATCTATCCCTATTTCCACGTAACCACTGGTTTTCTGTCACTGTAGATTAGTTTGCATTTTCCTGAGTTTTTAATAAATGGAATCGTAACAATCTGTTATGGCAGTGGGGCTTTGAGCTAATAACGGCGGAGCTGTATTCTAATGTGATACATCTGGCAGTGTTGTTGATATACTGACACTTCTCTGCCTTTTCTTTGCCTGTCACTTTAACTTTTTCACTCCTGGGCATAAATCCTCAAGCTATAGAACAATAGGAATTGGTGAAACAAATCTTCCAGCATAACATCAGTGGTACACAGGGTTTTAATCTCTAAAGAGGCAATAATAGAAAGAGAGAAAAAAACTTGAGTGTCTAGAGTGATAATCAGATTCCAAGGATTAGCACATTGCCCCAGCCATCCCTCTCATGCTCTGGCTAAATAATAAAACTTTTAAGTGTTGTCCAACCATAGGTCCTTGAAATAACCAGTTGATTTTGCTCTGTTTAAGGAATTTGGCTGTTTTCACAGGTAATTATGTGGGGAACTGAAAAAAACGTGTGGAAGACTTAATGCAACCCTCCCAAGCCACTGAAAAACATCCTGTGGAATGCATATCTAAAGCTATAGCTTTGCAAACAGCCCTGTGTTATTAATGGTGTCAGAACCTCACTGCTTACTTAAGCCTTACAGATTATTTGAAGGGGCTGCTCTGAAGCTTTTGGCAGAGCAAGGATGCCCATCTAGATTTTAATTTAAAAAGGAACTGTTCAGGATCAGCTCACCTAATGGAGATGCTGTGTTTCTGCATGGCATTGTCTAGTAGAAATAGGATGAGTATCTCCCGTCCACGTGGGCAGGTCAGCTAACTGCATCTGAACTTGCCTAAGTCATCTCCCCACAGAATTGTCTTCCCATGATAGGATTAGCCGTGAAATGTTGGTCAAGATTATGTGGAACACGGATCATCCATTGGGGCTATTTCCAGCAAGACTGTACTAAAACACAGTAACTTGTAATCCTTATGTATCTGAAGGGAATTGTTATAAAGAACAGTAACTGAGAATGCATGCCTAAGACATAAAGGAAATTGTGCTTTTGAATGGCATCAACATTCATGAGTTTATGTAAATGTCTACCTTGTGTGGCCCTGATTTAAGTGAATCATCAGATGAAAGCCACAACCAAGAGACCTTAAAGGTTCAAGATTTTGCAACCAGATGTGCCTGATTCTTTGGGATAGATTACCAGCAAATGAGAATATTGCCTTCCAAGAATGCTCCTTCAGCAAAAATGGGAAAAGCCATTGATATCTTCTACTCTACAGAGACTGAAAAGGGTAGGTTTTTTCTTTCTTTTTTTTTTTTTTTGAGATGGAGTCTTGCTGTGTCGCCCAGGCTGGAGTGCAATGGCGGCATCTCAGCTCACTGCAACCTCTGCCTCCTGGGGTCAAGCGATTCTCCTGCCTCAGCCTCCCAAGCAACTAGGATTACGGGCACCCAACACCACACCCAGCTAATATTTGTATTTTTAGTAGAGATGGGGTTTCACCATGTTGGCCAGGCTGGTCTCGAACTCCTGACCTTGTGATCCGCCTACCTTGGCCTCCCAAAGTGCTGGGACTAAGGGGTGAGCCACCGCACCCAGCCAGGGTAGGTTCTTTATGTCAAAGAAAAGCTGAGAGTCTTAAAAGGGTATATTTAGTTGGTTATAAGGATGAACTTGGTGGGGACAAGGAGCTCGAAAGAAGGGAGAGAAACTGCTGGGGCTAAAGGGCTGCGTTCATCCCCAGGGCTGTGGGCATCAAGGTCATGTGGGTTCCAACGTAAGCTCCAGCACAGGCCACCAGAGCAGTCAAAAGTTACTACCAAGGGGAGCCCTAGCCTGGCTTCAGAGCAGTGAATTGTACCACAGTGGCCTGCCCTTACCTCTGGAGTTTGTTACATTCATCACTTCTGGGTAATGTTCATCCACAACTGGCTACTACAACACAGAGATCTTATAAGTGACAGACAGGTTTTTTATTGTTGTTTTCATTTTATTTTTAAGAAACCAATAAATAGAAATTCAGGGAAGATTGTTGGCAGTTACTCAACTGCTAGCAGTACTGGGGAAGTCAGCCCACTCTGGTCGCGAGGGGCACCTGGCCCTTCCAAACCTCCCCAGTTCGTCTACACTCAGTCTCCCTGCTCCACCATTCATCAAGGGTTGCAAACTCAAATGCCCTTAGGGACACGGAGAGCAGTGAAAGGAAGCAGGCCAGGAGAGGACCATATTGAACTGGGAGAATATTCCCCACCCAGAGTTCCAGCTGATTATTGCCTTTGAGGAATGTGTGACAGCGTTTTCGTATTTGCCAGTGTTTTGGAAGAAGCTGGAAACCAGGTATGTGACATCTCCCATCTCCTAATCTCAAAACATTGAAAATTTCAAGAGGGAATAGAACTGCACAGGCCTGTGCGGAAAAGAGGTGCACACCTTTGTAAATGATTGAAAACTAAGAGTACAGACAAAAGGAGCGCTACGTAATCACTGTACTCTAGTTGGTGAAGTTTAAGAGGATGCAGGTGAACAATTCTAAAATCACTGTACCTGTGTACATATAGAACATCGAGGAGGATGAAGAGTAACTTTATGATAGAGAAACCTATCACTACCTCAGTCAGAAACAGTAATAAATAAGGTTAATAGTATGCACCCTTGACATGATATAGTGGGAATGATGCTTCACCTCTGTGGTCTTCCATACAAAAACCATGAGAAACAGGTGGGACACAGTGGTTCATACCTGTAATTTCAGCTGTTTGGGAGGCCACGGTGGGAAGATCACTTGAGGCCAGGAGTTTGAGACCAGCCTGGGCAATATATTGAGATGAGGTCTCTTAAAAAAAAAAAAAAAAAAAAAAAAGGCCGGGTGTAGTGGTGTGCACCTGTAGCCCCAGCTATGTGGGAGGATCGTCTGAGCTCAGGAGTTCAAGATTGCGCCATGGCACTCCAGCCTGGGCAACAGAGCAAAGACCCTATCTCTAAAAACAAATGAGAAATACATCAGATAAGCCCAAACTGGGGGACACGCTTTAAAAAATGGCTGGTATTCCTCAAAACCATCAAGACCAAAAACAAGAAAAGTCAAAGAAACTGTCATAGACCAGAGGAGTCTGGTCTATGTCACATCAAGTAATGACAAGTGAATGTGACAAGTGAATGTAATGTGATACCTTGGATAGGATCCTGGAACCGAAAAAGGATATCCGAAAACCTCGTGAAATCCAAATAAAGAAGTTGAGTTCATAGTAATTGTCCACATGGTTTCATTATTGTCACAAGTGTGCCATAGTAATGTAAGATGTTAACAATTGGAGAAACTGTGGGTCCTTGGGCACTCTATTAGGAACTTTTCCATAAATCTAAAACCATTCTAAAACTGTTTATTTAAAAAAATCTGTACGGGTCACTTAACCATGTGAAAAGCTACTCGACCTTGCTAATAACAAGAAGTGGCACTGAGATAATATCTCACCTGTCAGGTTGACAAAAATCCAGTGATAATATATTCTGTGGATGAGGCTGTGGGGCCAGGTATCCTTGAACATTTGTGGGGGTTTAATCCATTTTGTGTTGCTGTAAACGAAGACCTTTCTGGATTATTTACACAGAAAAAGGTTTATTTGGCTCACAGTTCTGATGGCTGGGCATCAAGATGGGGCATCTGCACCTGGTAAGGGCCTGGGGCAGCTTCCACTCAATGACTGAAGGCAGAAAGGGGGCTGGAGTGTGCAGAGATGACACAGAGGAAATGAGAGGGGGTAGGTGCCAGGTTCTTTAGCAACCAGCTCTGAGGGGACTAAGAGTGAGCACTCACTGCCCCCACCTCGGGGGACAATATAATAAATATATTAAATATATCAGGATGATTTGCATGCATTGCCCTGATATATTTAATAGCACAGGAATGTACACGAGAGAGTGACAGATTTGAATGGTCCCAAATGCAGCTGCAATGCTAGTCTGCCCTTTTTCACCATTTCTTATGGGAAAACTGATTCTGACAGTTTTCCAGACTGTGCACACATTTAAAAATCCACACCCTTGCTCAGCCAGCTTCCTCCTGGAAAGGAAAGCCAGCCAGGTGAGTGTTTATGAAGGCCCAACTGACTCATCAGCCCAGAATCCAGGCCCTCCCAGTGCCAATGGTTGCAAGCTGGGGGCAGGTGCTTGGGGAGTGGGCCAGCGGGCATCCGAAACAGGGCCTGGTGGAGCAGCATGGGAGCAACTGGTAGTAGAAAAAGGAAAGAAACAGCTGAGTCTGTTTTTAACATTTATTAATCCAAAAATACATAAAAATTCTTTCTACTCCAGGTTCTTGGGCTCTCAAGAAGGGGGGTAGCTGCCAGCCTTAAGCATCTGATGTGATACCTAAGTGCTCACTCATATTATCTCAGAGGAGAGGGAGATGAGGAAGTGAGGCTCAAACCAGGGAAATCAGGGCCATGCCCTGCAGAGGCCCTGTGCGGGGGACTTGGCCCACAACACTCTGGCTTTTTCTGCCAGAGGAAATGGGGCAATCACAAGAGTGGGCCACCCTTAGGCAATTCTTCCTATACAACTAGGCACCAAGGTTGGGGGAGTTCCTTCCCTGCTCATGGCCGAGTTTCTCGAGAGCCAGGCTGACCAGACCAGAAATAATTGAGACAAGGACAGATAGGCCTGGGAAGGCAGGGGCTCGGGCCTTTCTCCCTCTTCTTCTTGGCCCACATCCACTTCCAGGAAACCCAGAGGTAGGACCCTGCAGCCAGCCAGGTGCTCACTGGGGCTGTCACACCTCCACATCAGTCCACACAGCCACCCAGGAAGCCAGGGCCAGTCACCATCTGCAGCCTTGTTACTGCATGCCAGCTGGGTGCATGGGCCAGGGCCCCTGGCCAGCGCCAAGGCCTGCCCCAGGAGGGGCCTGGGCCACAGGCTGCAACCGCTGCTGGGACTGCCAGATGTGATGGAGCTCCTTGAACTGCTCCACCATGTGGTCTTTGAGGTCTGGGTTTGAGATCTGTAGCCGGATACTATCAGCTGACCAAGATAGCTCCCCTGAGAACATCTCCAGCAGCAATCGAGCTGCTACAGGCACTACCTGGGAGGCAAAGAGGAGATGAGACAGGGAGACCCATGACAGGGCTGCCAGATCCAGCTGTGCACGAGGGCAGCCATCAGGGGTGAGTAATAGACTGCATTCTCTGGCCCTGAGCCTTGATGGTCTCTGGCAGCCAAGTTCACACTGCTCAGGGAGCCCTGAGCCTCCAGCCTGGGGCAAGGGCCTGGCCCCAGGATTCCCCAGTTTTCAAGCCAAGGCCAACTTTGGGGCAGAGGAGACGTACCTGTACAGTAATGAGCTTCTTCTCTCGGGGTTTGCGGTCAGGCCATTCTTCCCCGAAGCAGAAGAAGATCTCGAAGGGTGGTGGGGTGTTGGTCTGGCCCTTCTGGAACAGGATGAGCTCTGCATCAAAATCAAGGTCCCTAGTCAGAGGCTGGAACCACACCCCTGGGCAAGTGGTGGCCAGGAGGACCACGGCTTCGGGCCCTCACCATTGAGAAAATGCTCCAGGCTGAAGAGCTTGGTCTTGACCTCCCGCTGGATGGGGTTGGGGCATGAGTCATGGGCTGAAGCACAAGGCCCACTCCAGAACACCTTGCACTGACACAGGCGGATGGCATACAGGTCCTGGCCCTGTAACTGGAGGATGAGCCCGCGGTCCAGGACATCCAGCAGCTGGTTCGTGTAGAAGCGCTGCTTGTCGCTGGGGATGTCCTCAGGGCTGGGGAAGCGCACTTGCTCCAGGCTTATGGGGCCAAAGAGTTCCACTTGCTCCTGGGTGGCCTCCAGCTGGCTGTAGAAGAGCCGGCAGCCGTGGGGGTTGCTGATAGTGAGGGCCCGGGGTGGCCGCCCCCGGTACTGAAACTTGATCTCCAGGTCAGTCACTGTGGGGCAGAAGGCAGGCCCATCCCGTCCTTGAGCCCCGTGCCTCCCCGTTCTGCAGCCCAGTGTCCAGGCCCAGCCCCATCAGCTCTCCCACTTTCCCCTCCCAAGGAGCTGCAGCACCCTCCACCCTCCTTGCCAATCCTACCCTAATCCCCCAGCACTGCTTCCCCGTGCCCAGCCGCGGGTCCTTACGAGGCAGCATGTGGGGGCTGATCAGCAGGTCAGGCAGGAGCTGTTCGCTTGCAGGGGGCAGGCTGGCAGCCAGGGGCCCAGGCTCCAGGACCTCAGGGAAAAGCTCCCTGAAGCCAGCAGGGTTGCCAGGGGGAGGAGCCAGGGGTCTGGGGTCTGGAGCAGGGGGACCCAGCACCACGGGCGGCTGCAGTGTGGGCGGCCACTTGACATCGTCTTTGAGTAAAGAATAGGGTGCCATGTGGGGGCCAGACTGCACTGCATCTACAGAAAGTGCATGTGGACGGCTGTCAGTGCCACCTCCAAGAACTGCCTCCCGGGCCCACCTACTCCCAGCCCTGGGCCACCCCAGCCTCCCATTAGCCCCCTCCCAGGTACCTATGGTACCTGTAGCTTCTCTGTATACTAGACCCCCAACCACCACCTCCCGGCCCCACCTGTGAGGCTCAGGCTTGGCAACATCCTCTGCAGCTGAAGGGACACCACCGGCAAGGGAGGGAAGAGATGGGAGAGAAGGGAGGACAAGTCATTCCACTGACCTGGGGCTGGGGAAGTAACATGCAAGAACCACGAGGCAACTGCCCTAGCCTCAGCTTAGCTCAGGCAAGACCCTGCCTCCGGTCCCAGCTTGTCCATCCCAGGCAGGTCAGAAAAGCCCTGTGCCTCACTTTCCTCATTTGCCTTCTACGGGGAGTCAGACCTACCAAGCCCCGACTGCTGTGTGGGTCACACATGCCGGGTAACGACAACGCCCCGGGAAAGAGCAGGTGGGGACTGTGCTCCTATCATTCAGAATTCCAGGAGAAGAAACAAGGAGAGGAGCCACTGAGAGGGCCATGGGGCTCCAGGGGAGTGGGACTGCGGAAACCTAAGGCCAATGGGGACAGCAGAGAGCCCGTCCAGGGCTCCACCTGCCTCCTCCTCCCACACTCACCTCTTCCTCTTCCTCCTCCTCCTCCTCTCCTGCACCTAAAGAGTAATCCTCAGGGGGCTGGGAGTCTGCACAGCAGGGAGAGAAAAGCAGGGCAGTAAGGGAGTCAACGTCAGAGGAGAAGCAAGATCCCCTGAGAGGCTGCCTGTAGCTCCTGTGGAGCTTCTGCCCTCCCCAAAGCTGTCCCAACACGGGGTGCGGTGGAGAGTACAGCCACCAGGATTGGGAAGGACCTCCCCAACTCCATGGGCCATGAGACCTCGGCTGGAGCCAGAAGCCAAAACGAGAGCAATGGTAAGGAAGAAGCACCCAGGTCCCTGACTGCATGCCAAGCCATTCCTAATCTGCTAGTGACCCATCCCAGCCACTCCTGGGAGCCCTGGGTGTCATGACCTAGCAGGAGCCCCCGCATCGTGTCCTGGACCACTGCCCACTAGAGGGGCCCTGGGCCTGCCTGCACCCAAGAGCTCATGACTGGGGGCCGGGACTTTGCACAGCCTCCCAGGTGGCCCACAGAGGGCTAGGCCTGATACCTGTGGGAGCAGGGCCATTGGAGCAGACCTCGTAGATCTTGTAGGGCTGAGGTGGCATGTCCCGGGGCCCATCGTAGAAGAGGCGGAAGTCCCGGCTCTTGTTAAGGGCACAGCGCAGGTTGGCCTTCCACTTGGCCGGATCAGCTTCATCCACACCTTCAGTGTATTTCCCAGTCTCCTTGGCCCAGGCCTGGGGCAGGAAGAGACAGCCACCACAGAGAACCTTGTCTCCACCACAACCCCAGTCTGCCTACTGTTCCGTAGGAGACCCCACTGTGTGGGGAGAACGTCGGCCACAAGCTGAGCCTCGCTGAGCCCCAGACCTGGTTTGCAACGTGGAAGTCTGCCACAGTCCTGCCCCAGCCCTAAGGCTGCCAGCAAGCTCCATGAAATCTAGGGCTATGAGATGCATCTGTAGTCCCTGCTCCTGGGAGAGTGAATCAGTGTGATCTCTAAGGAGGACAGCGTGGGGGATAAGGATGAGCACTCTAGAGCCAGGCTGGGTTTGAATCTGGAATGTGCCCCCTGCCAGCTGTGTGCCAGGCCACGTCACTGCCTCCCTTTGTCTTGATCTCCTCACAGTGCTCACCTCATGGAGTGGCAGTAAAGACTCAAGGGGTTGATGTCGACTGGGCACAGTGGCTCACACCTGTCATCCCAACATTTTGGGAGGCCAAGGTGGGAGGATCGCTTGAGCCCAGGAGTTGGAGACCAGCCTAGGCAACATAACAAGACTCCTGTCTCTACAAAAAATTAGCTGGGCATAGTGGTGGGTGCCTGTGGTCCCAGCTACTCAGGAGGCTGAGGTGGGAGGATTGCTTGAGCCAGGAAGTTTGAGGCTGCAGTGAGCCATGATCAATCATGCTCTGCACTGCAGCCTGGGCAACAGAGTGATACCCTATCTCAAAAAAAAAAAAAAAAAAAAAAAAAAAAAAAAAAATGAGGGGGGTTGATGTCCGTAAAGCACTCAGAACTATGCCCGCACATAGGACGGGCTTGAGACACTGGAGCTGCTGGTATTATTTTGAATGGCAATTAGGCGAGGTGAGGACTACCAATGCTTATTTCTACCCTTTAACCCAGCTCTTTGATTTCTAGGAATTCATCCTAAATATCATAGACGCATTCACACAAAATATTGCACAAACAAGGTTATTTGCAGCAGCACTGTGTGTAAAAGATGACTGAAAATACCCAATGCAACATCCATCAATGAGGGGCTGGTGAAATTATGGCCAACCCATTGAATGAAATACTGGGCAGCACAAAAAAAGAAAAAGCAGGAAACTGTTTACATACTGACATGTAGCAATCATCAAGAAGTATGAAGTATAGAAAAAATGCAGAGATCTAGCATTTCTTATGAAAATAGAGGAAAGGATAGTGCATATTTGCTTATATGTGCATAAAAATCTCTCAGGAAGGCTAAACAAGAAAATGATAACACGGCTGCCTCTAGGGAAAGGTTAGGGAGGGGAGTAGGTGGTGGTGAGCCAGGGAAGGAGGGAGACTTTTTGCTCTAAACCATTCTATGCCTTTTAATGTTGAATTTTGTGACTGTATTACCTATACAAAAATTAAAAATGGATTAGCAAAAGAATTTTGGAAAGGTAAGGATCAAGTCCAAAAACTAAGAAAATATGTATCCAGAGTTTTAAAAAATAAGCATTGCCTTTGACCCAGCAATTTTTAAGTCTAGGAAATCAACCCTCAAAATAATTGAGGTTGAAAAAAGGGGAAACATTAAGACAGCCTGCATGACAATGGGGGTTTCAAGTTCAGGTTTTAAAAGCAACCTCAAGTATCCAAAAACCCAGACCCGGTGAGCAAATTGTGCTAAGCCATTCCAGTGGAAATTCTACAGTCACGAAAAGTGATGTGGACGTATGTTGGAAAGGAAAGCTGATCCTGATATAGGGTGAAAAAAATCCAGGTTACAAATCAAGATATATCACTTGATTCCAATTTTGCATTCTATATACACACACGTGCAAAAAAACTAAAAATGTAAGCAAAAACTGTTATGCTAGGTACGTCCTAGCATTAAGATTACTGGAGAGAGCACAGTGGCTTGCGCCTGTAATACCAGCTACTCAGGAGGCTGAGGTGGGAGGATCACTTGAGCCCCCGAGCTTGAGACCAGCCTGGGCAACAAAGTGAGAACTCATCTTTACAAAAATCAAAATCAAAAAATTAGGCTGGGCATGGTGGCTCACGCCTGTAATCCCAGCACTTTGCCGAGGCAGGTGGATCACAAGGTCAGGAGTTCAAGACCAGCCTGGCCAAGATGGTGAAATCCTGTCTTTATTTCAAAGACGGAAAAAAAAAAAATTCATAATTGAGGTTGAAAAAAAGGGAAACATTAAGACAGCCTGCATGACAATGGGGGTTTTAAGGTGGCGGGCGCCTATAATCCCAGCTACTTGGGAGGCTGAGGCAGGAGAATTGCTTGAACCCAGGTGGCAGAAGTTGCAGTGAGCTGAGATTGCGCCACTGCAGCCAGGGTGACAGAGCAAGACTCCATCTCCAAAAAAAAAAAAAAAAAAAAAAAATTAGCTGGGCATGGTGGCTTGCAACTGTAGTCACAGCTACTCAGGGAGCTGAGACTGGAGGATCACCTGAGCTGAGTTGGAGGTTGCAGTGAGCTATGACTGCACCACTGCTCACCAGTGGTGCAACACTAGGCAACAGAGCAACACCTCATCTCAAAAAAAAAAACTCACCAGTGGTAAATGACTTAGCAACAGAGCAACACCTCATCTCAAAAAAAAAAAAAAAAAAAAAAAAAAAAAAGGAGGGGAGGGGTATATATGTACAGTTGTATGTCAAGTTAAAAACAAAGATTGGGCCAGGCATGTGGCTCACACCTGTAATTCCAGCACTCTGGGAGGTTGAGGTGGGTGGACTGCTTGAGTCCAGGAGTTGGAGACCAGCCTGGGCAACATGGCAAAGTCTCTACTAAAAGTACAAAAAACTAGCCAGGTGTGGTGGCAGGCACCTGTAATCCCAGCTACTCAGGAGGCTGAGATGGGAGACTCACCTGAGCCTGGGAGGTAGAGGCTGCAGTGAGCCAAGACTGTGCCACTGCACTCCAGCCTGGGTGACAGAGTGAGACCCTGTCTCAAAAAAAAAAAAAAAAAGGAGCTGGTCAACAGAGTTAGGCCCTGCCTCTAAAAAAAATTAGAAAATTAAAAAATTAAAAGATTGATGATATATCTGAATCTTATATTAAAAATAGTTTGTTCCCAACACAAAGAAATGACAAATGTTTGAGATTATGGGTATGCTAAGTACCTGATCTGATCACTGTACTTATCAAATCATCACTGTGTACCCCATATATTTATGGGGGTATATTAATTTAAAAATAAAATTTTTAGAAAGATGATAGGTGGGCCGGGCGCGGTGGCTCACGCCTGTAATCCCAGCACTTTGGGAGGCTGAGGCAGGCGGATTACGAGGTCAGGAGATCGAGACCATCCTGGATAACATGGTGAAACCCCGTCTCTACTAAAAATACAAAAAATTTAGCCGGGTGTGGTGGCGGGCACCTGTAGTCCCAACTACTTGGGAGGCTGAGGCAGGAGAATGGCAGGAACCCGGGAGGCAGAGCTTGCAGTGAGCCGAGATCGTGCCACTGCACTTCAGCCTGGACAACAAAACGAGACTCCATCTCAAAAAAAAAAAAAAAAAAAGAAAGATGATGGGTGATTGTTGGCTTCCTTTAGCATATGTGTGCACTGAACTAGTCCTCATGAGTAATAGCAATGAGACAAGAGCGAAGGGTGAGTAGGACAAATTATGGGAAGGCCTTCTGGGGACCCTCAGTTCCCACATTGCTCTAGGGTGAAGGTTAGAAAAGGTGTGCCCTAGGCCGGGCGCAGCAGCTCATGCCTGTAGTCCCAGCTACTCAGGAGGCTGAGGCAGGAGAATCGCTTGAACCCAGGAGGCAGAGGTTGCAGTGAGCTGAGATTGCGCCACTGCACTCCAGCCTGGGCTACAGAGCGAGACTCCGTCTCAAAAAAAAAAAAAAAAAAGAAAGAAAAAAAAGGAAAAAGGTGTGCCCTGTGGCTACGTCTGCATCCCCTTAGTCCGGGCCTGGCATCAGTGGCAGCGTGCTAACTGGGTGGGTGGCCAGTCTTGAGGAGCTGCCTATGTGTGTGTTATATGCGATCCTCTTCTGGGGACAGGGTGCTCTGGAGGTCCAGCCAACCTCCTCGCCAGGGCTTACCTTGAAGATGGTGTTATCTCCGTCCTGGCTGGGACCATGCCTCGTGGCATGCCTCCAGGGGATGTAGAATAATTTCTTTTCCCCGTTGACCCATTGAAGCCCTGGGTACTGGCAGCTGTTCACCTGGGCCACCAGCCAGGGCTTCAGCCGCACGCGGCGGGGCGGGGTGGGAGCCCCTGGGATGGACTGGTTCATGGTAGAGGGGTCTGCAGGAGAAAGCCAGGGGGAGCCTCAGCAGGTCCACAGGTGGACGGGGACAGGGTGCTCAGAGGTCAAGCTGTGGGCCACAAGGGATGGTCTCTCCAGTCCATCTAGGTATTTGAGGCCAATCGTCTTTTCCAAGCATCAACTTTCTTGTCTAGTGTCATGGAATTTTGTGTTTGGGTGAAGGGAAAGAGAGTTACGAGTTAGTGAATGCTGCGGGCACAGCCCCAGACGCCCTTTACCGGGCGGAGGCATCCATTCTCCAACTGCTAACAGTAGCGAGCAGCCCATTGGCCAGAGAACTGCCTTCCACTACTTACCCCACAGGTTAGGCCCACCCCTCGCTCTTGAGGGGTCAGCCCACAGCCAGACCGCCTGACACAAGGGACAAAAGCCTGGCTATCTTGTCTCAAGCTAGGCTACTTGGGGCAGCCAGTGCTCCGTGGGATCAGCCTGAAGGCAACCTCCCGCTCAGTCCACACCCCTGGTTCAATTCTTCTCTGCCCAAGTTTTCTCACCCCCTATCCCCTGAGAATCCCCTCCGGAGATGCCCTCAGCAAGAATCTCATCTCAAGCTCTCAAGGACACCTGCCCTCAGAGGAAAGCAGAACATGTGAATGGAGGGTGGGTTTCTTCACCCAACTCTCAGAGCTACCTTTCTTCCTCAGTTTCCCTCCAGGAGGAAGTTCCCCAACCTCAACGTCTTTAGATGAATCCCATCAACCAACTCAACCACCTCCAACGACAGCGGCCACCAAACTTAGATGTTACTTCTCTAGGGCCATTCATCTAGATTCTTGGTCCTCTCCCTTCTCCTCCCACTGGACACGCATTGGTGTAGCACTTAGGAAGGCCCTAATGCCTGCCGGAGCCTGTTAGGAAGTCTGCAGGAAACAGAAACCACAGCTCTAACCACTACCTACCCAGGGGCACAAGCCCCACCTCTCAGGCCACAGCTTCGCTGCCTCCCTGGAGTCAGGCCAGAGGGACCCTGCCTCCTCCCCTCCACACGCCAAACTCCCTCTCCAGCCCAGAACCGGAAACTCTTCACAGTCCTGAGCCCCCTCCTCTCCCTCTCTCCTCCCCTTACCCATGCCCTTGGCCCTTCACTTGAGACCCCTGTGTGGAAGACAGAAAGGACTGGGCCATTATACAGCACAGCCCATCAGAAGTGAATGTGTCGCTCAGCAAGTAAGGAGCAAAGGTTCGAGCTGAACTCCCTCTGTCTTTCTGGGCCTGCTTGGGCCTTGCAGCACGGAACCTCAGTTTCCCCTGAAATTCCCTGCCCAGTACCTTTTGGGTTTGCACCTGCCTCGTGCTGCCTCTGAGCTGCTAGTGTCTCACATTGTAGGCCTCCCTCAGAGCCCAGCTCGGCTGCCTCCAACCCAGGAGACGTAAGGCTGGCCGGCCTTGCCTGGCCCAGGGGCTGGGACTGGGAGGTGTTCAGAACGCTCCAGCCCTGCCCCGACCTCAGAACATGGGGGCTTAGTTCCGCTTTCTGCCCCAGCCTCCACCCAGCCCCAGGGGAAACGAAAGTGGCTGGACTGGGACAACTCAGAAACCAGACTCACTGTGGGCTGAGGGAGGGAGCCGAGTGGGTCCCCCAGACCAAATTTCCAACCTCCCACCCAGAGCTGTTCCCCACACCCCACACCTGCAGGCAGTCTTTGTGCATTTAGTGTGGTTTGTAGCATGGGTGTGCGCCCACCCATATTTATATTTGTAGATCCCTGAGAGGCCTTGACCCTAGAATAGAGGGGTGCCAGTCACCAGCAGCACACAATTCTGGCCGAGTAAGGGTGGACAGAGGAAGCTCTGTCTGTGCAGAATCGGGGAGAGCTTCCCTGATGACCCCCTGGGCTGAGGCCGGGAGGTGCTGGTGCCACTGGGGAGATCAGAGGGTCCAGCTGCCTGCCCCCTGCTGTCAGTCCAGCAGTCTGGCCCTGCCCAACACGGCTGTTTAATACAGAGCAAGGTTTTGAAATGACAACTCCGGCCTCAGTGTCAGAGGGCTGCATCCATACAAAGAGCTTAGGGAGGGGTGTGGAGAAGGAGCTCCCGCGACAAGCCCGTCTGTGATGAGCGAGGGTCTGTCCACCATGCCACAGAAGGGACTCAGCCTCAAGGCTTTTGCCTGTAGCCAGGTCCACACAAGCTCTAACCCAAGCAGCATCCATCCTTGCAGAAGCTCCCTCCTGCCCAGAAAAGGGCTAGGTCTGATTTAGACCACCCTAATCAAGGCCCATGATTTTGGAAGTTTGGTGTCAGAACAGGTCTGCCATCGCAGGGCTCCGGAGGCTCTGGGTGAAATGCATGCAGCCCTAGACCTAAGTCAATGGACCTGAGCCCCAGAAAGTGGGGAAATCCAACAGCTGAGGGCCTGAGGAAGCCCCTACAAGTGTGTGAGGCAGCAAAGCATCCAGTGGGCAGTCCTAGAGGACCTGCTGAGGTGGGGCGAGCCCACAGCTCACCCCAGAACCCTGCTGGAGTCCCAGGAGACAGTCCCCCCACTACCCAGGAGCTGCAATTCGTGGGCACCGGGGAGCCACTAGGGAAGGAAGTGCCACAGCAGTCCTAGTAAGAGTGGCCAGACAGCAGGAGCCCTGCTGCTCCCAGGGTTGGTCTGGGTCACATGTCTCCTTGCAAATCCACACCCAGCTCAGGGAGAGGACAAGGGGTTCCCTGTACAGGCCCTGACCCCAAATCCCACCCCTCCGGGTGAGCTTCCCACACCCTGGGCCCTGCTGCCCACCTGGTCCGACAGGCTGAGGCTCTGGGGCAAAAGGTGCCCAGGAAGAAGCTTCCTCCCAGGGTCAGGGTAGGGGAAGACCAGGGTACAGGGGGAAAACCCCAAAGTAGGGCCTTTAGATAAAAAGGGGTGATTTCCCAGTGCTTCCCTAGACTCTTGGAGCCCCTCAGCCCCAGCACCCCAGGCCCCATAACTACTGGGGGTGGGGACAGGAAGGGGAGGTCATGCCAGAGGGCCTTCTGAGGGCCTACAGTTTCCTACATCGATACAGCCAAGCCCTCTCTGATCCTGGCCACTTATCCTCATTCTGGGCCCTCGAGGAGCCCAGGCCCAGCCCAGTCCTCCGCCCCTGCTCCCCCCTCCCCTCCGCCCCCACTCCTCTCGCGGGCTCCGCTGGGGCACACCCCTTGGGCCAGCCCGCGGAGCCACCCCCACCTCCAGGGTCGGCCTCTGGACCTCTCCTCCTGCTGCTGGAGGAGCAGCACCCCGTCCTCGCCCTGCTGTGCCCAGAGTGGCTGCGAGACTGGGAAAGTCCCCTACTCCCGCCTCTGCTCCCGGGTACCCGCTCCCGCCCCTCCCGGGGTCCGGAGACAACCATCTCCCCACGCATCCCGGCCATGCTAGCCTCACTTTTTTTCAACGTTTAGCCTCTTCATTGTTGCCTTCTTGAGTTCTGGGACAGGACCTACGGAAACCAGCCCAGGAGCTATTGCGCCCCATCCTTCTCCGCTGCTCGGGAGACCGGAGTCTACCATTCCCGGCCGCAAGCCCAGGGACAGACGGAGCCTCTACCTGACACCATCTTCCCCCAAACTCTTGCGCAGCTCCTGCCATTGGCCTGAAGATCCCGAGGGATGAACGCTTTAACCTCAACCTCTTTTCCAAAAGGGTGAGGGTGGCCCGGTAAGAGCGAGGGCGAGTGCATCGACAGTAAGGATCGGGCCTCGCTCCTCAGGGGCCCAAGCCAGTCTCCAGCAGGATGCCCAGGAGCCCCCATTCTGGGCGATGGCGAGGGAGAGGGAGAACAGCAGAGCCGGCGCCCCCCGCTCCCCGTAGCGGTGCCGACTCAGCCGCCTGGGTCACGGGACTCCCCGGGCGCCAGCACCCCAAACCACGCCTTGGAAGTCCCAGGCCGGTGGGGCGCACCCTGCTCTAGGTACCCACCCGTTCTCGGTCCTCAGGCGCAGCTGGACGCGGACCCCGCCCTACTCCAGTCCCCATCCCGCCGCCCGCGGGTGCCTGGAGGGCGCGGGCCCCAGTCTAGGCCTAGACTTGGGGGCAGTAGCCGGCACCGCTCCCGCCACCCTCAGGGCGCGCCAAGCGGGGACGCAGAGAGGAGAGCGCGGCGGACTGGACCCACCTGTCTGCGGTGCGCCTGCGTGGCTGCGCTCGGGAACACCGGCCGGGCGGCGGGACCAAGCTGGGCTCTGCCCAGGCTGCACCTCCCGCCGGTCCGCCAACCAGCCGGGCACTTCCGCGTCTCACCGCCCCCGCCCCTGGGCAGCTGCTGCCGAGCTCCGGGCGCTGGCAGTGCCCCGCCCCGCCCCGCGAATCCACTCCGGGCCCCGCACTGACCTGGCAACTGCAGATCCGGGCTGAGCCTCGGGCCAGGCCCAGGGCCTCCAGGGAGATGCCAGTCGGTGCGGTGCGCTAGACTGGCCACTGGCTCTTTTGGCAATCTGGAACCGTAAAACTGTCATTTGACAACCCCGTGCCTCCCGCTGCAGTGCTCGGTTGGGCCCTGGGAGAGGGTGGGGGTGCTTCCCCACGCTGGTCCTCCTGGGCTGCACACAAATGAGGGCGTAGTGTGGCCAACCCACAGCCCCAAGCCCTCCTGTCGCCTGTCTGCACCCCTGGCGAGGGCAGCTGTCGCCCCTAGAGCACAGTCGCTGCCCCCAGGATCCAGACACCCCTTCCTGACGTGCTTGCAGGCAGGAATCCTCTAGTCACTCTGTGCCTTTCTCATCCTCAACCCCTGTACCTGTCTCGCCCCAGCTCCCCTCCTAAGTCGCCTTCCAATCATCCCAGGGTCAGTGGCGTGGTCGCCTGTCCCACCTCCTCTCACTGCTACCTTGACCGTCCATCTGTGGTTCTGAACCGTTTTCGATTCCATAAAGAACCTCGCCCCAGGACCTCCACATTCACACCTCCTGTTCCTTCTCTTCAAAATTTCTGTTTCAGCATCACCTTCTCTGGAAAGTCTGCCTTGACTTCCCCTCCCGCGTGGGGTTCCAGGGTGCAAAAAGCTTCCTGGTTAATTTTGCTTATGATTTTGCTATGGATAGCCAGGGGTTTGGTCTAGGTCTGGCCTCTCACCGCACAGAAAGCCTATCACTGAGACAGCTTTATTGACGGGGAAGAAGGCTTTATTCTGGTGACATCGTCGGTGATCTGGTGAGAGGGAAGACAAACCTTCAATTCATCCCTCCCCTTGACTAAAGTTAGGGGCTTATATAGCAGGGAAGGAAAACAAGAGGGATAAGGAAGAGGAATTGGTCAACAGGCAGCAGGTGTACTGATGTAAGTGTCTCAAGCTTCAGTTCTATGAGCATCTGGCTTTTTGGAAAATTGGGTGGGTTTCAATTTAGATGTCTGATTTCCATTCGAATCAGCTTACTCAGGAACCCCCCTCCTGTCTTTTCATTGTTCCTTTTCTTTTCTTTTCTTTTCTTTTTGATATGGAGTCTTGCTCTGTCACCTGGGCTGGAGTGCAGTAGTGCGATCTCAGCTCACTGCCACCTCTGCATCCCCGATTCAAGCGATTCTCCTGCCTCAGCCTCCGAAGTAGAGATGGGGTTTCACCATGTTGGCCAGGCTGGTCTCGAACTCCTGACCTCAGGTGATCCACCCACCTTGGCCTCCCAAAGTGCTGGGATTACAGGCAGGAGCCATCGTGCCAAGCCGAGCCTTGTGTTTTTTTAACAAATAAAGTAGTATTTGTTGACGAATCAGAACTTTGACCTTCCCTCCCCTCCCTTCTCCTGGGTTGAACTTTACCTTTAACAAGTTAAAAAAAGACACTCACTTGTTGTGTTTTTTTTTTTCTATTCTGTATCTTTCCCTCTTTCCTGACCTTTGTAACCCTAATATGAAGTGGAAATATCATTATATATATGTATTTTATTATTTGTATCTGCTGAGTATTTCATTATTTCATATTTTTAAAATTTAAAGTATGGATGGGGGAAATGTGAATGGGTAGATCGTTTTCTATTTCTTTCTTTAAAAATGAAATTGCTAGACCAGGCACGGTGGCTCACGTTCGTAATCCCAACACTTTAAGAGGCTAAGGCAGACAGATCACTTGAGTCCACCAACCTGGGCGATATGGCAAAACCTTGTCTCTACAAAAAGTACAAAAATTAGCCTGGCGTGGTGACACTTACCTATAATCCCACCTACTTGGGAGGCTGAGGTGGGAGAATTGCTTGAACCCAGGAGGCACACCACTGCACTCCAGCCTGGATGTAGAAGTGAGACTTTATCTCAAAATAATAATAATAAAATGAAATTGCTGTTTCATTGAAAGTGGCTCCCCACAAAATGGGAACCTTTTCCCCTAGAGGTCAGTTATGCTTCATAGAAAAATATTCTATGCTGGTCCAGAAAATGTATCTGGAGCAATAGCTAAGAAGAACCTTCTTTTATTATCAAATGCCCCTCACCCACTCTGAGGGACCGTGAGACCGTAGAATTCTGCCGTCTGCCCCCTTCCCACTGTCCATCTTGCTCAGGTGAGGCCCTTTCCTTAGAGCCTCTGAACCTCAAGAAGCAGCACGGACTGCATGCAGAGAAGGGGCTGGCACCTGGCTCTGCTGTGTTCCAGCCAAGTGGCCTTAGGCAGGTCCTCAAATCTCATTTCCTCGTCTCTAAAAGGGGGATCATGTTACTGAGCCGACAGCATTGATATGGGGCTCCTGGGATAGAGGCTGTTCAGGGGCTCAGCTTGGCTCGGGTCCTGCCTTCCCTCAACTGAAAGAACCTGAGCCAAGAATCACCTAGGGCCAGAGACATGGCCTGGGAGGAAGGAAGGACAGAGAGCAGCACTCCAGTGCTTCCAGGATCCGGGATCCCCTGGCCTCCCAGTGCCATCCTGGGGGTGGAAGAGCAAGTAGACGGGAAGTGAAGCCACACCCAGCCCCTGTGTGAGCGCTCCCAGTTCCCCCTTGATGGGGCAGGAGGCGGTGGGGACAGGGAGGTCTGTCCAGGCCCCCCACTCCCCACGGTGAGAGGGCCCCTTCCCCCATTTCCCCTGGCTGGAGTATCACAGACTGAGGGTGTGGTAGGAGGCACCCTCCCCTGACTCAAGTAGCAGCTACGCTGTGTGAGTGAGAGTAGAGTGGGGTGGCAGGGGTGGGGGACGGCAGGGGGAGGAGGGAAGCCGTGTCACCAAAGGGAACTGAAAGAAACCCAGAGGCCCATTGGGCAGCTGAACAATACACCCTGGCTCTGGAACAGCCCCCTTCAGTGCAGCCTGGGTGGATGATAACTGCCTTTGCCTCTCAAAACCTCCACCCCAGGAAACCCATCCCCTTAGCCTGGGCTCTCAGGAGTCCGTAGGATGGCCATCCTATTTCTCAGAAACCCCAAGTTTCTGAGAACTTGTTGGCTGGACATCAGGCTCTGAGGCCAACAGGTCTGAGTCAAATCCTCACTCTGCAATCTAGAATTGCGTGACCTGAGCAAGCCATTCACTCCCCCAGAAACCCCATTTCCCATCCATAAAGGAGAATGGTGACCCCAGTGTCACAGATAGGCTGTGAGTCTACATTCAACAATGCTTCTCAGGCATGTTGTACCTGCCAGGATAAAGTGGTGGACAATTTCTACTTTGTCTAAAAACCCCTGCCCTCCTAGAGCTTCCATTCTGCAGAGTAAGATAGACAATAAATCCTCAAGTAATGAAACTGGGTGAGGCCTTCAGGGGCACCTCACAGGCTATGACTTTGCTAGGGACAGTCACTGGAAGGTTCAGACCTGAGACATGACAGTCTGATTTAGGTTTTAACCCCTCTTGGCCAGGTGCGATGACTCACACCTGTAATCCCAGCACTGTGGGAGGCCGAGGCAGGTGGATCACTTGAGGTCAGCAGTTCAAGACCAGCCTGGCCAACATGGGGAAACCCCGTCTCTACTAAAAAAAATACAAAAATTAGCCAGGCGTGGTGGTTCATGCTTGTAATCCCAGCTACTCAGGAGGCTGAGGCAGGAAAATTGCTTGAACCCAGAAGGCGGAGGTTGTAGTGAGCCGAGATCGCACCATTGCACTCCAGCCTGGGTGACGGAGCGCGACTCCGTCTCAAAACAAAAAAGAAGAAAAACCACCTCTGGTTCTTGTATTTGAAGTGTTCACTTGCTTTGAAGTTTCTGGCACATAGAAGTGGTATCTTTTTTAGGATTAATGCCCAGGACGCCACGGCTGGGCCTTCCCCCCCATTTCTTACTAACTAACACTGGCTCAGAGCTTTTTGGGGTGTGACCTGGAAGTCCCCCATTCAGCCAGCCTGTCACATGAACACTTCTACACTTGGAGTCCCCACCTTTCCCAATCCATGGCTCTGTCTTCACATGGCCTGTGAAGGAAGCTGCCCGGGCCCTTGCTCCAGGCCCTGACAGGTCACCTGTCCTCTCTGATGCCTGCAACCTGGCTCTTGTCCTTGTCCGTGGAATCTGTTCTGGCCTCACACCATCCTCCAGGCCTTGGATCCGCAGCTCAAGCAAGCCCTGAAACCCACCAGAACTCCCCGACAACTCCAGTCTCTGCTGGCCTCCTGTACCTACCTGTCTTTCTCACTTCAACCCTCAGATCTTGGGGTTTCACTCTTTCCTAGATTTCTCACCATTCCCTTTAAATAAATGTGCTGAAGCCCTCTCACTTTCCTCTGGGATTCCTCTCCCAGCTCAGCTCCCTGAGTCTGCGCCCCTGCCCCCCTGCCCCCTACTGCGGGCCTCCAGGACACCAGCCCAGAGGTTCTCTCCTCCCCTACTGGCTGCACGTGGTCTGATTCAGTGTTTCTAAAACTTGCTTAGCTCAGCACTGTGCTCAAACCACTTCCCTCCTGGCTCCTGGGCTCTGTCACGGACGGGGTGGGATGTCCGTCCTTCCCGCATGTCTCGAGGGCTCGCTGTGGAGCACGAGGCACCTGGACAAGGAGGAAAGGGAAAAGGACAAAGTCTAGCTAGAGACCCCAGCCTTCTGGGGCCCTTGCTTTGTGGGGACAGATGCCAACCCAGCCCCACAGGCACCAGCTGAAGACCTCCGGTACGCTCTTTTGTCCCAGAATGAGCCTGG